GCAGACATGATACTTTTAGCAGCGGCGATCGGCGATTGTGCGACGATTTCGCAACTTCATGCATTCGGACGCGGTATCGGAATAGCGCATTTTAACGCAGGTTGGCCTTAGTAAGAACATGGTGTGCAGGTGCGGTTTTGTTCCCCAGTCGATGAAGCACCTGATGTCGTGCCCTGAGTGCCCAAGCAACTGCACTCAGGAGGATTTGATGAGTGCTGCTGACAACGCCACTCTTGTGGCTGAGTTTTGGGCTGACACTGTGTAGGTTTGTTGTCGACACGAAAAGAAGAAGAAGATATTAGCGACTCTATCGATGCAGCATCGAGATTCGGATTCGGATGCAGTATCGAAATCGTACGTTTTAGCTACTGCCTGTGCTACTGCTTTGATGATTGATCGACAGTACTCGGAGAGGTAGACATAGATGCTAAATCGATACGACCAGGCATCCAAATGAATATGGAGCCGGAGTGTACCGTTCAGTCGCTATGTCGAGCTTCCGAAAAGCGACTCAATTGCCTGCGTTTGGCGTTTTTAAGCGTGCTATGTGGAATGTGTGGTGGTTGCATTCAGCTTCTAAAAGGCGGTTAAATCGCCTATCGAATGAAATAACATTCACACTTACAAAGTCAACACTTTCTATACCTATTGTTTATTATTGAACAACGATCATGTAGGTTAACTAGGTTGCAATCGATTACCGACATTTGTTTACATTTCTTAATGAATAAGTAAACAGAATAATAAAAGTGTGTTAATATGAAACAATATTACTCTTCAATATAAGCACCGCACATTACAAAGTAAATAGGTGCAGAAACAATAAGATGCAGCATGCAGCACAATTGAGGCGGTCTTATCTCTTCCAGACAACCTTCAGAGTAAGAGGACAGTTCATCGAATTGGGGGACGATGGGCAAACAATCAAAATCTATGTTAATAAAAGACAGATCATTTTTTGACAAGGCAAATAATAAGAGTACCCCAAGAGAAGTTGCTGTAGGTTCCAGATGGCAAGGGACAACAAAAATTGCGCTTGAAAGTATCAAGGGATGTCGAAAGACATTCTCTACTTTGATCATTCATCTCTACCTATCTCAAATGACCATGAGATTGTCACATTACAGTTGGTGTTGTGTCTACTATAGTAGATCAGCATCCGTGTTGACACTGTGTTTCAGTAGACTTTTAATGTTACAAGACTGGTCAATGGTCTTTGGCTCCTGAGCAGGGAGACGACAAATGAAACAGCTGGATGCGTGTGCGATAATCAAGAGCGTAGTTTATTAATTATTAACTGCTTATATACTAATAAGATGTGCGTCAGTCGTGACGCGCGACCTACTGTGTTTTGTCTAATAAACAAATGCAGTGTACGCTGACGCTACAGGTCAATAAGGAATATGCAAGCATTGGCATTATCAAATCAATCAGTGGTTTTCTTTGACAAAAAATTCAAAAGATACCAAGATATAGAGACGACGTCATTGGTCACGTTAGAATGACATGCAGTCCCATACAAGTTACTATGGGCGGGTGACATTTCACGTCACGCTCAAAGTTTAAACACTTGTAAGCTAGCATTTTTAAAGCGTATTTGCAGTAGGGATGTTATGGATATGTAGTTTCGGTTATGGATACGGTTACGGTAACGGATATTTTTAAAATTTCGGATATCCGAAAGTTTCGGTTACGGTTACAGATATCTGTGCTTTAGAATGCAATTTGCAATAGTTGTCCAACACGGTTCATTCATGGCAGCACACTTTACATTTTACATAGAATAAAAAGTAATTAAAAAAAATAAAAAATGATACTAGAGGGTATTATAAGAGTAGGCGCACACCATTGATTTTTAGTTGGCCGATAGTTGTGCCCGATTTTAATTTGCATGAAGAATCGGCCAAATCGAATCGGCGTAGTGTGCGCACTCCCATGCATGCCCATACTGATCAACTGCCCGACTAAACTATCGGCCGACCAAAAATCAACGGTGTGCGAATCAGGCTGTTATGCCTTTACATATTATGCTATACAAAAACACAATTTAAATTGCTTACATCCAAGACTATCCGAAACTTTGAATCGGTTACGGTCACGGCTTCGGATATTTTTTTATTTCGGATTTTTTTTTTATGTGATAGGAGGCAAACGAGCAGACGAATCACCAGATATCCGATAGTTTCGGTTACGGACATAACATCCTTGATTAGTTAGTGAATAATGTTACCTTCTCCTCGAGGGAGCCGCCGAGCCCGCCGAGCGCCACGGCCGAGCCGCCGGGGGCGCCCGACGACGCCGCGCTCGACATGATGCTTGCCGCGCTGCAACGACACAAACAATAAACAAATATTAATAAACTAGCTGTGTCCGCGACTTCGTACGCGTGAAAGTAGTTCCCATTTTCGCAACATTTTTAAATTTTTTATACATTGTATACAGGGTGTTAGGTAAATGGGTATATGAGCCGACACTAGCCCATCTTAACATGGTCATATAAATGGTATGGTGAAGTCAGAAATTTGATATCATCATTTCGTTTTTTTTAATTTTCATACAAAATAAATTTTATAAAATCCGATTTGTATGAAAATTAAAATAATTAAAATTCAGATATCAATTTTCTGACTCCACCATACCATTTATGACCATGTTAACATGGACTAGTGTCGGCTCATATACCCATTTACCTAACATCCTGTATACTGCTCCTCCCCTATTTATTCAACCGTAGGGTAATGTTATGTAGCCTAAACCTTCCTCGATAAATGGGCTATCCAACACAGAATTGGACCAGTAGTTTCTGAGACTAGAGCGTTCAAACAAACTCTGAGCTTTATAATAAAGTAATCGAGCTTTCATACACAGTTTTACATAAGTTAATAAGTACATAAGTTTGCTGTTAACAAACACTTTATTCAATTACATTCAAGGAGTAGTCAGGATTTCAATAAAAATAATTGGACAGAAGATGCCACTGTACTATACATCATTGATGGTTTTAATAAAATCGCAAGTGATCATTGGCAATACAATGTACAATATACTTTTTCGTCTAACACTGATGCACAAAATCCATCCTCATCCGTACCCTTAAACTATTTGTACACTTACAGGGCATTCCAGCCTTCCCGCCTGAAACTGGCCCACGCACTGCACATATTGTTAGTTTGTTCACTTCACAACATAAGTATAGTAGCACATATTTACAAAAGATTTCCTATAAAGAATAATATTAAGTTGAAGTGGCTCAAAAGGCATCGGTGATCACAGTTACTAATCTTTAGGAATGAATTCAGTAGATTTGGCAATGAAATAATGTTTTTAATGGACAAATTTGATCAACATATGGTGGGGTTTAGATGAGTGCCCTTTACTGTTAAGTTACATAAAATCAATGTTACATAAATCTATGTTTGGATGGTATTATTGCATCTGAAAACCACTCTGTGTTATTTGTTTAATAGCACACAATAAAAACTATTGTATACATTTCCAATAATTATGGATAAAAAAAGAAACCATTATGATTTTATGTTGAGTAAACACATTAAATACAAACAACTGTTCACTGTTCAAAGTAAAATACATTTCCCTCCAAGAAAATGTGTATCACTGTGTTGCAACTAATTTAAAAGTGGGTATGGCAGAGCCTGTTTGTTTACACTCCACTGGAGCCTAGGGGAGGGGAGCCTCGGTGTATTTTTAGCTCTTAATCGATATTTTATCGATTTGCACTATTTACTACCAACATATGACTGAAAAACTTAAGAACAACAAATTTTGAACTCATAACAAAAAGCACATGGTACTTACATTATATCAGAACCGGAGATCATCAAGTATTGCAACAAGACATTCTAATGTGTATTCTTGTGTGTAAGTCCTCACAGAACCAGCCAGTTCCTGGTTTCAAGCTTCACACATCAGCACTGTACTCCACCCCTCACAAACATCAATTTTGTCACACACCACGTAATATCCACACCAATACTTAAGTCAGCACTGATCAAATTGTTCATAAAACACTTTCTTCTTGAAAAACCCATTGTTTCATCGTGTTATTCTGCATTTTTCTAGCCTTTTCTGAATGCAGCATACTCCTGATAAATTTTGACACAACTGTTTGATGTTGCCACAAATAAAAAAACCGGCCAAGTGCGAGTCGGGCTCGCGCACAAAGGGTTCCGTAGCAGCAAATATAATAAACTTATTATGTCAATTTAATCAACCTATCTCAAAAACTATAAGAGATACTTTGATCAAACCAAAAATCGTTGAAAGAGTTAATTAGCATGCATCACCTCTATTTTTTTTAGAATTTTATACCCCGTAGTTATAAAAATAGAGGGGGGGGGACATACTTTTTACGACTTTGAGAGCTGATATCTCAAAAACCGTTCACTTTAAGAAAAATGTTTTTTAGAAAACTTTATATCATTTTAAAAGACCTTTCCATTGATACCCCACACGGGTATGTACATCGAAAAAAAATTTTCATCCCTCAGTTACATGTATGGGGGGCCCCACCCCCAATTCTTTTTTTTACTATTTAGTGTCATAATTTTGTAGCGGTTCATACAACACATATTCCCATCAAATTTCATCACTGTAGTACTTATAGTTTCCGAGTAAATCGGCTGTGACAGACGGACAGACGGACAGACGGACAGACGGACAGACGGACATGACGAAACTATAAGGGTTCCGTTTTTGCCATTTTGGCTACGGAACCCTAAAAATGTGTAATTTATTCTGATAGTGCTGCGCTGCAGGGCTACCAAGGGTGGGCTCAGGTGGGCTACAATATCTATAAGACGTTTTGATGAGAACAGAGACACAATCAATCAATCAATAAAGCATTTTATTGATTTTAATTAATATTAAAAATAAATTCTGCTTAAAAACGCAACCAACTCTAAAATATTAAAATGACGCTAGCGGCATCTATGAGTTTACCTTGAAACTATTAAGTGAACTGCTTTACCCATGTGATTTCATTTCAGGTGCTGCTTTACCAACCGAACATACGCCATTTTGCTATTACAGAAAAGTGCATTATCTGTCGTCAACAATGTGATGAAACGTAAAATGTTTCTTCGATTTTTTTGGTGTTTGTGATGTGCAAGTGCAGTTTTATGGAACTAAATAAATTCTAGGATTATGGATGAGTCCATCGAGACGCTCAGGGTCGTTCCTGGTGAGTCTATCGCCTCAAAAATAAGCTGTGAATTGTGAGTGTTCAACCACCGAGGTCGTACTAATGGTAGCTTTCCCGGTTACAGAGCTCTACTTTCTGATAGCGAAATTTCTCTCCGGTGGACCTCTGAAGGAAACTGCAAAGGTAAATTCGATAGAAATACATCTAGATATTATTTTTGTGCGAGAAAAGTGACTCAATGTGATCTTTTCTGTTGCAGACCTTGCTAAAAGAGCTCGAGAGCGTCGAGGTGAGTTAGTGCTTTTCCTAGTGCCGGGTGCGAGCTTATTGTTGTTTTGATCGCAAACGCACGTGGTAGCGACTGTCAAACTTCCTGAAACTTTGCTGAAAACTTTGTGTACGATCCATCGTGTTCCAGGTACTGCCCCGCAGGCTCGACTGGCAAGGCAACGAGCACGCCCAATCGTATGAGGAACTTGTAAGTTTTTGGCTATTTACTGCTGTAAACTTTGTTTATTTACTATTGAAAACAACTTTTGCGACGGGAAATCCTGAAATTGCGAGAAAACGGCGAAAAATCTTAAGTTGGGCTTTGCACGGAAATGAGCATGAAAATACGGTGGAAAATCGTAAAAAATGTTTTGGCGAGGTTTATGTGAGAAATAATGAGTTTTTCGTGAATTTGCGAAAATTTTGTTATATCATTCTATTGAGTGATGAGGTGTTAGCGTAATTAGGAGTGTTGTCGTCCTCTTCTGGCGCACGGAAGGTGCGTTGCCTCGAGTGCTGCGTCTCGCTCGTTGCGGCCGAGCGCATTCGGGCGAGCTCGTCGTACGCGTTCGGGGGCGGCCATGACCTCACTCGCTGTCACGAGTTGAGCGCGGCGAGTGGCGGCAAAGTTTGAACCTGCGCTCTTGCGACGTCTTTGTACTCGGGGCATTCAACTATGCCACACCCATTCATAGAAAATACTAATAAGAAAACAATAAGATGCACCAATAACTCTCATGAGCCTCCTAATTAGTCCAATAATAGCCTGGTTAATGAGATTATTAATTATTATCTAATTAATTGTAGTTTTCTATCATCTCTAAATTCGCTTTCATTGTTTTGTTACAATGTTATTTTATTTCTGACTTTTGTTCAACAAATTATCCTTACAATACAACATATTTTTCACAAGTCTATGCACATGCAAAGATAAGATCAGATTTTTAAAATATTTTTTTTAATTTGTGTGCCTCAGTGTACTTTAGCTAGCCCAAACAAATTCAAACCTTAGAGACCAACTTAAAGGACTCTAAAATATATCATAGAAGGCTTATAATGAATAATCCAAGATTCCATAATATCTTGTCTTAAATTAATTGATTCATATCATAATTATTGCATCACTAGCTTTCCGCCCGCGGCTTCGCCCGCGTGGAATTTTGTCTGTCACAGAAAAACTTTATCGCGCGCGTCCCTGCTTCAAAAACCGGGATAAAAACTATCCTATGTTCTTTCCCGGGACTCAAACTATCTCTATGCCAAATTTCATCAAAATCGGTTGCGAGGTTTAAGCGGGAAAGCGTAACAGACAGACAGACAGACAGAGTTACTTTCGCATTTATAATATTAGTTGGGATTAGTTGGGATGTGGTACAACATCTACTATGTATGTTAATGTTGACAAAAATTCAGGTTTTTAATTAACTTCATATTCATGAATGCACTAGAAGAAGGGTAATGTCTTTATTGTATTTGAAATACCACAATACTTCTTTTTTTTCCGCATTTTAACATAAATACCCTGTCTTTTTTCTGTGGTCACCACTTGAGAACTTTTCTGTCCTTCAGTTCTATGTGCCACACCCAGTACCACTTAAATTTGATATTATTTATATCACTTCTGCTTTGTTTACTTTTAAATTCTTCTGATTAAATTTCTTTGTGGGTTCCAAGACAGTTAAGTATCAAATTCAATTTGTTTATTGCATGTCACATTACAATTAATAGTGGTGTTTTAATATTTAGGAAACCAGGGTTTTATAGTGTGTAATATAATAACAAGTTAGGCAACAGGTAAACCACTTATAATAGAGATACCTACAAGTATACATGTGACGCCCTGCAAGGTCTATCCTTTGGGATTACTCAATGTTCACTGGTTGGGTTTCATTGGAGGCCAAGCTGTATATCCTATCTACACAGGAGTTGCAGTGGTGGGATAACGCGCGTGTTCTTCACAAACATTACTATGAGGTCTCACAGTGCTCGTGGACGCACAGGGTGACACATGGACCAATCTATTCAACGCTGTGCGTTCGATTTGCTTCTTTATTTGTGAATACGGGCGTATGTCTCGTCGTTTTCTTCTATATCCAATTGTTTCTTCCAGGCATCTCAATACACGGACGTGTCATGGAGTCGCTTAGCCTCCGTGTGCGAGCGAGCGCTCTCTCTCGCTCGCTCCGTGTCCGCGCTACCGTCTCGCCCCGCCCCCTCCGCCGGGACCGGTGCCGTTGCCGGCGCCGGGAGCCCGACCGCGGCGACGTCGCCCCAAGCGGACTTGAGCGAGAAACTCACGGCGCGCCTCTCCTTGCTCAGTGAGACGCTGGTGCGGCCGAAACCGAAGTATGCCTCGCATAAGCAGGACCATTCGCTTGGTAAGTCTTTGATAGTTGTTTCTAGATAGACCTATGTTCATTGTTCATCGATGATGAAAATCAAAATTAAAATTGTTATTTACTTGTGGATTTTAGACTTCTTCAACTTCTCAGTGAACTAAACATTTTTCGCGTTTGTTCGCTTACGTAGTCACATAATAAGAGTTGTATCTCATTGCTTTTAACGCCATGTGAAACCCATACCAATTTTGAAGTCTCTTTAACAATCAATTTGTGATTTAATTTAATGTAACTTGTTGTCGTGGATCCACTGATCGCGTCGTGAATCGTAGAGCCACTGCTCTTGAGTTGATAATTTGTCATCACTTCTCGAAACTTCGCCTGATTGTGTGCCAGGAGTGCGCGAACTCGCGCAGCGCGATCAACCAGTGCGGTGCAGTGTGATAATCAGTCCCCCGCTGAAAATCAGTTTCGAGACAAGCCCTGGCGCGTTCTTGATGTATGCTGAGCGGGTGCCTTTTTGTCAGAGGGGCACAAGCAGCTATCTGTCCATTTGTGTAAAGCCTGGTCCGTGAGCACGTAGAATTTTGCGCGTAATTATGTTGCTGTCGCGCTTGCACACTCACTGCGGGCGCCCGTCGCACAGTCGCGACAGCAATATAATTACGCACGAGCGATAAAGATGGGTATCTTGGGGTCATTGGACAAAATTCTACGTGCTCACGGACCAGGCTTTATCTCTTTCATTATGTACTTGTTTTTCCTGCGTGTATGTCTTTCTTTCAAATAAAAACTATTCTATTCTATAATCGCCTTATTCTGGTTGCTTCAGTCCGCCGCGTGGTGGCGCGCGAGTTGGGCGTGGGCGCGGCAGCCAGGGCGGGCGGCGCCGGCGGGCGAGCCATGTTCCCTGCGCGGCTACTGGGCGGGCTGCAGCTACAACGCCGCACGCTCGGCCACCTGTCCGCCGTCTACTGCCTCGTGTTCGACTGCACCGGCCGCTACGTGGTCACGGTGCGTGACGTCACACTGTGCATGCTCTATATTGTTCCCGGCGCGGCTACTGGGCGGGCTGCAGCTACAACGCCGCACGCTCGGCCACCTGTCCGCCGTCTACTGCCTCGTGTTCGACTGCACCGGCCGCTACGTGGTCACGGTGCGTGACGTCACACTGTGCATGCTCTATATTGTTCCCGGCGCGGCTACTGGGCGGGCTGCAGCTACAACGCCGCACGCTCGGCCACCTGTCCGCCGTCTACTGCCTCGTGTTCGACTGCACCGGCCGCTACGTGGTCACGGTGCGTGACGTCACACTGTGCATGCTCTATATTGTTCCCGGCGCGGCTACTGGGCGGGCTGCAGCTACAACGCCGCACGCTCGGCCACCTGTCCGCCGTCTACTGCCTCGTGTTCGACTGCACCGGCCGCTACGTGGTCACGGTGCGTGACGTCACACTGTGCATGCTCTATATTGTTCCCGGCGCGGCTACTGGGCGGGCTGCAGCTACAACGCCGCACGCTCGGCCACCTGTCCGCCGTCTACTGCCTCGTGTTCGACTGCACCGGCCGCTACGTGGTCACGGTGCGTGACGTCACACTGTGCATGCTCTATATTGTTCCCGGCGCGGCTACTGGGCGGGCTGCAGCTACAACGCCGCACGCTCGGCCACCTGTCCGCCGTCTACTGCCTCGTGTTCGACTGCACCGGCCGCTACGTGGTCACGGTGCGTGACGTCACACTGTGCATGCTCTATATTGTTCCCAGCGCGGCTACTGGGCGGGCTGCAGCTACAACGCCGCACGCTCGGCCACCTGTCCGCCGTCTACTGCCTCGTGTTCGACTGCACCGGCCGCTACGTGGTCACGGTGCGTGACGTCACACTGTGATATGTAACAGGGCATGCGATATGTTACGCTCCGTTAAGGTTCGACCAAACCAACGCGATCACACGCGATCAGCCGGCTGATCGCGTTGGTTTGGCCGAACCTTTATACAGGTCATGCGATATGTTACGTTTTTTCCGTTATACAGGTCATGCGACATGTCCTTGTCTATACAGGGCATGTGATAAGTTCTCTTTATACAGGGCACGTGTTAGGTACCTGTCTCTTTATACAGGGCATGTGTTAGGTACCTGTCTCTTTATACAGGGCATGTGTTACGTACCTGTATCTTGACACAGAGCATGTGTTATGTACCTGTGTCTTGATACAAGGCATGTGTGATGTACCTGTTTCTTGATACAGGGCTTGTGTGATGTACCTGTCTTTTTATACAGGACATTTATGTTTTGTACCTGTCTCTTTATTATATTATACAGGGCGTGTGTTAGGTACCTGTCTCTTGACACAGGGCATATGTTAGTACCTGTCTCTTGACACAGGGCATATGTTAGTACCTGTCTCTTGACACAGGGCATATGTTAGTACCTGTCTCTTGACACAGGGCATATGTTAGTACCTGTCTCTTGACTCAGGGCATATGTTAGTACCTGTCTCTTGACACAGGGCATATGTTAGTACTTGTCTCTTGACACAGGGCATATGTTAGTACTTGTCTCTTGACACAGGGCATAAAATATGTTAGTACCTGTCTCTTGACACAGGGCATAATTATGTTAGTACCTGTCTCTTGACACAGGGCATGTGTTATGTACCTGTCTCTTGATACAGGGCATATGTGTATGTGGTCCTTCGAGCCGGATGTTTCAAAGTTTGTTCTGGTGCAGGGCGCGGACGACCTGCTGGTGAAGGTGTGGGACGCGCGCGACGGGCGCCTGCTGAGCACGCTGCGCGGCGCGGGAGCTGAGATCACGGACGTGTGCGCGTCGGCGGACGGCGCCTTGCTGGCCGCCGGCTCCGTGGAGCGCCTGGTGCGCGTGTGGGAGCTGGCCAGCGGCGCGCCCACGGCCGTGCTGCACGCGCACGCCGGTGAGACACAGCAGGGATCACGGACGTGTCGCGTCGGCGGACGGCGGTTGCACGACTTATGTCAAAACGTGTTATTTGAAGAGCCCTTTATAAGAATAAGAATAAGAATAAGAAGCGTTTATACAGTGTGAGTCACGTTAAAGTGTACATATGAAAATAGATGAAACTAGACCTATTTTTATCGACAAAAAAGAGGTCAAAAAATTTTTGAGATTTTTTTTAAATTTTTTATATTATTTTCTTTCTTCCAATTACTTATTGTAAAGAAAACGTAATAACTTTTAAACTAAGGGGAATATCCTGATAAAATAAAAACTGTAATAATTCTAAATAACAGGCAATACTAAAAAAAATACATAAAATACACAAAAAAGGCCAACAAATAATAAAAAATGACACTTTTTGAAAAAAATCTGCTTTTAAATTCGTGTTTTTTTGATTATTTGTTAAATTTTTCCAAAAAATGCCCCCATAACCGGTGGTTTTTACTACGTTGTATTATTTTCTATCGTATTACCTTCGTAAAACCAAAAATCGCATGTCTCTATCCCTATCACAACATTTGCAATGATCGTTTGAACAAAGGCTTGCCACAACATTATTCTCCGCTGCAGGTAGAGAAAATTTTATTTTTAACTAAAATGCTTATTTTACTTCGAAATCTTTTGTTTTTATTTAAAATTTAACTTGTCTTTATCTAAATTACAAATCTAGAGCTATTTTCAGTTTTGTTGTTAAGGAAGCGTTGAATAGCGCGCCCGGAGAGGCTTAGTTCAAACGATCATAGCAAATGTTGTGATAGGGATAGAGACATGCGATTCTTGGTTTTACAAAGATAATACGATAGAGAATAATACAAAGTAATAAAAACCACCTATTATAGGGGCATTTTTTGGAGAAATTTATCAAATAACCAAAAAAACACGAATTTAAAAGCAGATTTTTTTCAAAAAGTATAATTTTTTATTATTTGTTGGCCTTTTTTGTGTATTTTATGTATTTTTTTAGTATCGCCTGTTATTAAGCATTATTACTGTTTTAATTTTATCAGGATATACCGCTTAGTTTAAAAGTTATTACGTTTTCTTTACAATAAGTAATTGGAAGAAAAAAAATTCTATAAAAAATTAAAAAAAAATCTCAAAAAATTTTTGACCTCTTTTTTGTCGATAAAAATAGGTCTAGTTTCATCTATTTTCATATGTACACTTTAACGTGACTCACACTGTATATTATTATGTTGTGTGCATGCACCGTGTTCTTCCGTTTCCTGTGAACTCACGACTTGTTGTAACGGTTGACTTTAAACGTGTTATTTTAAAAGTGACTGAATTTCTCCCGCCACTTCTGCTCAACACCAGGTCATATATTGTCCCGAAGTGTTGATATGGCAAGTAATATTTGGGACCCTGGAAAGGGCCCAAGTTCTCAAGAAATGCTTAAAATTTGACTTTGAGCCCTTTAGAACTTATAAAACTCAAAACATTTATTTTTGCAAAGAGGCTTTTAAGAAGCAGCGCAAGAAACTCAGACACTATTGTCAGCCACTTTTTCAAAAGTTTACAGGCTTTAAAAATACATAGTTATAAATGCGAACTATGCAGTTACGCATCCCAAACATTTTTATCTTTTAAATAATCATCATCTTTTAAATATCTGTTAAAATATAATTGAAACATCCCCTTTATAATAATATGTTGTGTTCAGGCACGATCACGGCGGTGTAGTGCACCGAGTGCACTCGAAGTGCACCGGGACCGAGTTTTTCCGTATCCTGTGAACTTACGACTTGTCTTTAAACATGTTATTTTAAATCTGATAGAATTTCTTCCGCCACTTCTGCTCAACACCAGCCCATATGTTGTTCCGAAGTGGTGGTAGAGCAAGCTATATTTGGGACGGGTGCCCTGGAAAGGGTCCAAGATCTCAAGAAAAGCTTAGATTTAGACTTTGAGCCTACATGTTGTGTGCAGGCACGATCACGGCGGTGCACTGGGCGCCGCTGGCGCACGACGTGCGCTGGCTGGCCTCCACCTCCACCGACGGCTCCGTGGCCTTCTGGACGTGCGCCGACGGGCAGTTCCTCTCGCAGGTACCGACTATTCATGATTTTGCTTTTGAGAGCCATTTCACAAAATTATTCCGCGCGAATTTAGGTAAAAGCTGTCAACGCAACGTCAAAAGAGTAAAAAGAACGCTGAAATGGACAAAAAAATCTTGAGCCGTGACCGTATTAAGAATTGATTTAAGTTATTAATTTTAAGGTAGAATGAGGTATTCAAACTTGATAAATTAATTTAACTTTTTAATAGAGTTTATTAAGTCTTTTAATTCGATTCATAATGAAACACGAATAGGCACAAGCCCAAACTCCATAGGGCTCTATTGTTTTGTTACGGAGGTGGCCATTGCATCTCCTCCAGATCCATTATCAGACATAGCTAAGAAATAAAAAAATAAATAAATATTATTATAAATAAACAAATAACTAAAATAATTCATCTTACTATCTTACTTCTTACTAGTCTTACTAATATTATAAATACGAAAGTTTGTGTGGATGTCTGGATGTTTGTTACACTTTCACGCAAAAACTACTGAACAGATTTTGATGAAACTTTACAGTACAGTACAGCAGTACTAGGCAGTCTGTGTTCAACTATCACTCGGGTCGGACGTTCCTGTCGCAAGAACTTTGGTTGGTTCACTCAGTTCAGATACGACTCTAGTGCTGTGTGTAATTATTTTTTGTGAAAACACTGAGTTTATTAATTTCTACGAGTGGATTTCATTTTGCCTGAGATTAACCCTACCACTGCTTCAGGACAATAAATGGGCCAGTGCTGAGAAGAAGCAGCGCAAGAAACTCAGTCACTATTGTCAGCCTCTTTTTCAAAGGTTTACATGCTTTAAAATGTACAAAGTTATAAATATTTATGCGAGCTAGGCAGTAACGTATCCCAAACATTTTTATCTTTTAAATAATCATCGAGTTTATAGTAGCCCTTTTTCATTAAGGTACTTTTAATATGTGCTTTGAATTTATGAATGGGTAGTTCTACAACAGTTTGTGGTAATTTATTAAAGAATTTAATACATTTTCCCATAAATGAATTACCAATCTTATGCAATCTGAAATTTGGAACGGCAAGTTTATTTTTGTTTCTTGTATTAAAGTTATGCAAATCGCTCTTTTTCGTGAATTGCTCTATATTTTTGCGGACATATAAAAGGTTTTCATAAATGAACTGTGAAGCTACTGTCAGTATGTTTATTTCCTTAAAAAAAGCAGTTATTAAATAATCTCTGGGTTTTGCTTAAGATAGTAATTCATGCTTCCAAAATCTTAGAAATTCGCACGAAAATGTAAAATGGCTCTTAACACACCTTCCATCCATCTTTATGCTTTTGTTTTTAGGTTTTATTTCACTTGCAGTGGTACCTCGGAATTTTCGGAAATAATAAATAAATAATAATAAATATCCTTAGACATTTTTCACTGCGCTTCTAGTCCCAAACTAAGCAAAGCTTGTACTATGGGTACTAGACAACGGATATAAACATACTTAAATACTTATTTTTTGTAATTACATACTTATTATACATAGAAAACACCCCGTCCAATACAAACAAATATGTTCATGCACACAAATGTTTGTACTGTGCGGGAATCGAACCCGCTTCCTCCGGAATAGTAGTCCGTTTCGAACCACTACACCAAACGGCCGATATAATGCTTTTGTTTTTATAAGCTTTGATCAACTTGCACCAATGAGAGAGGCTTCTTTATGGACAATCTGTTGAAATGTACTCATCTATAATATAATGTGTTAAGACGGACCTGTTGCTGCTACTAAGGCAATCTGCAGACCATTTAACTCCTCAACGACTTAAAAGACATATTTAGGTTCGTCAGTTTTATCTTAATTAGTGTCCTTGCATTATTGACCAAATTCAAATTATTTATTGGATGTCACACGACTGAGGGTTGAGAGAAAAAAACATTGGTGCATTGCCTTAATTTTTTCCCATTTATGATTTTCTGTACTTCCTAACGCATCTAGGCGACTGCTACAAACGGGACTGTTCCCATCTCTCGTTCCCACCGCTGTAACTCCTGTGTTAACGGGGCTATTCCCCCCTCTCGTTCCCACCACTGCAACTCTTGGGTAGCCAGGATCTACAGCTTGACCTCCACAAACACCCAACCAATGAAGGTCAAGTTTGTCCCGGGGGAAAGTTAAACTGTCATTGGACCCGCAACGAAATTAATCAGAAGAACATAGGAGGAGTTCGAAATTAAGGTTCGACTTCCCTCCATTGCAAAGCGGATGACAGGTGACAAACAAAGGTTTAAAACCTTTAAGAAAAGATTAAGCACCACAGACAAACTCCTGTGTTAGGCGACTGCTACAGCTACGTAATATTTCTTGCAGCCAGTGCAGTTTGTGGAGCGATTACGCCCTGGTGCCTGCCACATGATCTGCGCGGCGTGGTCGGCGGGNCGAAAATCACATTTTTTTACTTATATAATATAACAAAAATATTTTAATAAAATGAAACATACTACCTTATTTCTCACGAACGAATAAAGGTATCAAATTGAAATTTATACCAAATACCTAGGTCTATTGTCCCTTTAAGCAGTGAAAAAATCAAGCTTCTAAGTTAACGCGATCAAAAGATACAGCAGTTAGTACCGAACCTACAAGGTACTTCCCGTGAACTCAGAATCTTGAAATTCGGCACGAAGCAACGTTATATAGTACAGATAAAGGAAAAATTGCGAAAATGATAAATTTGAAGTTACATAAAATATTAAAATATTAATTTTGCTTACATGACACAAAATATTTTTTTAATAATTATAAACTTACTACCTACCCTTTTTCACATGAACGCGTAGAGATATTAAAGTTGAAATTCATATCAAACACTTCTTAATTCTAATTGCCTCTAAACTGAGAAAAATTCTAAATCAACGCAAAAATTCAAAACGCTCTAAAACGATGACTATAAAATATTGTAAATAAATAACTTTAATAAAAGAACTTTTACAAGGTACTGGCCTACTATTTTAGTTATATTATAAAATAAAAAATATTAACTATGTTGACTCTCACGAAATTACCATAACTATGATTGTTCTAAACA